ACCTGGTACATCCGTACACATGCGTACAGTTATACCTGGTACAGCCGTATGCATTCCGGGTACGGTGTCACTTACGCAGAGCTCTCTATGTTGTCTATACCTGGTACAGCCGTATGCTATATACCCTGGTACAGCCGTATGCTATATACCCTGGTACAGCCGCATGCTATATACCCTGGTGCAGCCGCATGCTATACCTGGTCAAGCCGTATGACCGGACTGACCTGGTATATAGCACACCCGTGTGCTATACCTCGTATACAGCCGTCTGAGAACACTCGTCAGCACGTTGAGCACGTTGAGTACGCTGAGTTTCTTGAGGACGTTAAGCAGGAGGACGAGTACGCTGAGTTTCCCCGTGCTAAGTACATTGAGCACACTCGGGGGAACGATCAAGAAATTGAGCAATTTCAGTTGAGTACGCTGAGAGAGCACACGTCTTGAGTACGTGGAAGGGGAAAACTCCGCGTGCGCTAAGTGTACCGCTTGAGGAAACAAGTCCAGACGCATGAATGAATAGAGTCTGAAACAAGTCCAAGAACGTGAACGAAAAGAATCCCAACTTCTTCTCAACCAACCGTCTATTTCCTCCCCTCCGCGTCTTCCCCTAAACCTCCTCCCCCCCCCCTTCCGCCCCTCCCACCGCTACGCTTAAACGACAAAAGCTATCAGAGGTGTTAATTAGTCAATTAGCCAATCAGCCAATCAGCTAGCCAGCCAGCCAGCCAGGCAACTCCTCCCTCTCCTTAACGACCACTCTACTTAGCTGCAGCGCGATAGCAAGCCGGCCTTTCTCTCCTCCCTTGTTATCTTTATGTTACCTATTATATCTATATCGTATTTATTATACATGTACCTTATCTATATATATACCTATAAGTCTCTGGTTGCTTCGGTTACAGAGTTGGAACAACAGCGCCGTGGGGGCGGACGAGTAAAGAGAGAAAGGGAGAGAGGAGGGAGAAAGGGACAGGAGAGAGAGAGAGAGAGAGTGAGTGAGTGAGAGGAGGAAGGGGAAAAGAAGAGGGAGAGAAGAGGAGGAGGAGGAGGAGAAGGAGGAGGAGGAGGAAAAGAGCAGGTAGGAATGTGATGCCTTGAGAAGTAACAAACAGACTAACGATGCCTTTAGTAGGAGGCGGAGAAGGAGGAGGAGGAGGAGGAAAAGAGCAAGTAGGACAGGCAGCAGTGGTGAACACGTGCCAGAGGAAACGGAACCTAACGGAATGAAACGGAGCGCAACGGAACGGCTAGATATTCGATTTCTTCAGTCAGTCGAAGGCGTTATGCGAGCCGACAAACGGAAATTAAAAAAAAAAAAATTGAATCAGACTCTTAACCAACACGACTGTCTCCACGGACTGACCTCGTCTCTTTCCCCAAGTCCACCATAGCCATCTTCTTCGCTCTCTTCTTCTTCGTTAGAAAGAAACGAAAACGAAGAAGGAGACCAACAAGAAAAACACAAGAAAAAAGAAAGAAAGGAGAAAGAAAGGAGAAGAAATAAAGAGGAGGAGGAGGAAGAAGAAGAAGAGAGTTGTGTATAATCCGTAGAAGGTAGGTGAGGAGAGGAGGAAGAAGTCGTGAGAGAGCGAGAGAGAGGGGAGGGAAGACGAGATGAGAGGATACAGATACAGACACACAGACACAGAGAGAGAGAGAGAGAGAGAGAGAGAGAGAGAGAGAGAGAGAGAGAGAGAGAGAGAGAGAGAGAGAGAGAGAGAGAGAATGGAAGAATGGAAGAATGGGAACGAAATGAGAGGATACAGATTAAGGAGAAGATGGGGAGAAGGACGAGGGAGGGGAGGAGGAGTAAGAAGAGAGAGAGGGAAGGAGAACGGAATGGACAAGAGGAGAAAGAGAGAGGGAGGAGGAGGAAGAAAGAGGAAGACGAAAGAGAGGCACGAGCATTAACAACAGCGCTACTCTTTCTAGTGTTCCTTGTGATTGGAACGCAACGGCTCCTGCGCCATCTGCACCGTACATCTCGCCCAGATCCAACGGCAAGCAATCAATCAATCAATCAATCATAACATCCCGTCACGCGCATTTTATATATCGCCCGCTCCTTTCACAAGCATTTGTCAGTTGAGCAAGCCGGTCCTCCTCCCTCCTCCCTCCTCCTCCTTTGGGAGACCAAGAACGGCTGGCGATGGATGCCGCCTCAACCCCCTCTCTCTCTCTCTCTCTCTCTCTCTCTCTCTCTCTCTCAGTTTTCGTCTTCGTCGAATGGAGGCGTCGGCGTCGAGGCCCAGGAAGACGGTCGGTAATCCCAATCCAGACGCTAGGCAAACCCGACCCCAACAAACGGACAGGGAAAGGAGAAGATTACGGCGAGGGCGGAGGGGAACAAGAGGCCTCGCTCCAGTGCTCAACAAAATGTGCAAAATGAGAATGAATCTTTCGCTAGAAACATAGGAAGATACATCGCCGTTTTTTTTTTGTGTGTAGCGAGGCCCAGATGGGAGAGGGAGAACGTCTCTTGAAAAGGATTGAGGGGGGG